AACATTCGCCCAACCTTTAAAGAATTAGCCAATGAGTTCACCAGGATGGCCCGAGACCCACCACGGTATCTGGTCATAAAGGTGAGTAGGGAGTAGGAGGTGCTAAGGAAATTTTAAAAAGGGGGAGTTGGTTGGAACCAGGATTTCCCCTAACAATCACCTATCAATATAGAGAGAGAGTGGGCCTGGAATAGACCCTGGGGCAGAGCACCATGGTCTGACAAACAAAGAGCTGGAGGAAGTAGAGCTGGAGCCAGAACTAGACCTAGATCCAGACTTGGAAGCAGAGGAGGACAACCTGACAACCACCACACTGGGCTCCGTCCTCAGCCTACCAGTTGGAACACTTACTCGGCAACGTGGGGTAAGACACCTTCTAATTACCCAACGCTTTGCACCTTGAGCCCTCACCAACCTATAGAGACCCAGATTAACTACTCAAAAGCCCCCGTGGTAAATGTAGATTTCTCCCTTCATCTTAATCTTGTCCTTATTTTTTCATCCTAGAGCCAGAGCCTTTTAAATCCATCATCTGGATACATGCCCATGAACCAGGGTAACCTTGGGGAGGCTTGCCAGGTAAGGTCGGTAGCTGGCTGGGTTTTAGGATCAGATTGAGAGTAGTATGGAAGACATTAGAAACCTCCGAGGTTTAATCAGTGTCCTGAAAAAAAGAAGGCAGTGAGGGCCAAGCACAGTGGCTCATGTCTGTAATGCCAGTACTTTGGGAGGCCAGGGTGGATGGATCACCTGAGGTTAGGAGTTCAAGACCAGCCTGGGCAGCCGGGCGAGGTGGCTCACGCCTGTAATCCTAGCACTTTGGGAGGTCGAGGTGGGTGGATCACGAGGTCAAGAGATTGAGCCCATCCTGGTCAACATGGTGAAACCCCGACTCTACTAAAAATACAAAAAATTAGCTGGGCATGGTGGCACATGCCTGTAATCCCAGCTACTCAGGATGCTGAGGCAGGAGAATTGCCTGAACCCAGGAGGCGGAGGTTGCGGTGAGCCGAGATCGCGGCATTGCACTCCACTCTGGGTAACAAGAGTGAAACTCCATCTCAAAAAAAAAAACAGACCAGCCTGGCAATATGGTGAAACCCTGTCTCTACCCAAAATACAAAAATTAGGCAGGATGGTGGTGCACACCTGTAATCCTGGCTACTCAGGAGACTGAGACAGGAGAATTGCTTGAAATGGGAGGCAGAGGTTACAATGAGCTGAGATTTTACTACTGCACACCAGCCTGGGCGACAAAGACACCGTCTCAAAAAACAAAAAGGCTGGGTGCAGTGGCTCACGCCTATAATCCTAGCACTTTGGGAGGCTGAGGCAGACAGATCACAAAGTCAGAAGTTCGAGACCAGCCTGGCCAACATGGTGAAACTTCGTTTTTACTAAAAACACAAAAATTAACTGGGCATGGTGGTGGGTGCCTGTAATCCCAGCTACTCTGGAGGCCGAGGCAGGAGAATTGCTTGAACCTGGGAGGCTGCAGTGCACTGAGTTTGTGCCATTGTACTCCAGCCTGGGCAACAAGAGCAAGACTCCATCCCCCGCCTCCCCAAAAAAAAGGTAGTGAACAACCCAATCTCCTTCTTTTTTTTTTTTTTTTTTTGAGATGGAGTTTCACTCTTGTTACCCAGGCTGGAGTGCAATGGCGCGATCTCGGCTCACCGCAACCTCCGCCTCCTGGGTTCAGGCAATTCTGCTTCAGCCTCCTGAGTAGCTGGGATTACAGGCACGTGCCACCATGCCCAGCTAATTTTTTGTGTTTTTAGTAGAGACGGGGTTTCATCATGTTGACCAGGATGGTCTCGATCTCTTGACCTCATGATCCACCCGCCTCGGCCTCCCAAAGTGCTGGGATTACAGGCTTGAGCCACCGCGCCCAGCCTCCAATCTCCTTCTAAACAAATGTCACTTCTTTCTTGATCTGTGTAAATCTCCTTGCATTATTTTTGGTTTATTTTCTTTCTTAGGAGTCTGCAGTTTCTCAGGGCAGTGAATGGTGCCCCCGTCCAGTCTCTCTGCACCCAATGCCACGGGGACGCCTGGTATCAGAGTCATCAGAGGGCCATGTAACAGGCTCTGAGGTTGAGCTCCAGGAGAAAGTGTCAATGTGTAGGAGCCGGAGCAGGAGCCGGAGCCCACGGCCACGTGGAGACAGTGCCTACCATTCCCAGCGCCACAGTCTGCTTACTCCTGTCACCCCTCTCTCCCCACCAGGATTAGAGGAAGAGGATGTCAATGGTTATGTCATGCCAGATACACACCTCAAAGGTGCCTGCTCTTCCTAGGGCTTTCCTCAGTTCTTCCTCGAATTCTTTCCCCAGGCTCCTCTAAATTATTGTCTTCTCTGATGATATGCCTCTCTATCCTATTCATTTTTTCAAACTTTCCCCTACCCCCATGAGGTTCTTCGCATACCTAGCCTTTCTTCTCTACCCTCAGGTACTCCCTCCTCCCGGGAAGGCACCCTTTCTTCAGTGGGTCTCAGTTCTGTCCTGGGTACTGAAGAAGAAGATGAAGATGAGGAGTATGAATACATGAACCGGAGAAGGCACAGCCCACCTCGTCCCCCTAGGCCAAGTTCCCTTGAGGAGTTGGGTTATGAGTACATGGATGTGGGGTCAGACCTCAGTGCCTCTCTGGGCAGCACACAGAGTTGCCCACTCCACCCTGTACCAATCATGCCCACTGCTGGCACAACTCCAGATGAAGATTATGAATATATGAATCGGCAACGAGGTGGAGGTGGTCCTGGGGGTGATTATGCAGCCATGGGGGCCTGCCCAGCATCTGAGCAAGGGTATGAAGAGATGAGAGCTTTTCAGGGGCCTGGACATCAGGCCCCTCACGTCCATTATGCCCGCCTAAAAACTCTACGTAGCTTAGAGGCTACAGACTCTGCCTTTGATAACCCTGATTACTGGCATAGCAGGCTTTTCCCCAAGGCTAATGCGCAGAGAACATAACCCCTGCTCCCTGTGGCACTCAGGGAGCATTTAATGGCAGCTAGTGCCTTTAGAGGGTACTCTCTTCTCCCTGTTCCCTCTCTCTCCCAGATCTCAGCCCCATTTCCCCAGTCCCAGACAATTCCATTCAACCTTTGGAGGCTTTTAAACATTTGACACAAAATTCTTATGGTATATAGCCAGCTGTGCACTTTCTTCTCTTTCCCAACCCCAGGAAAGGAGGTTTTCCTTATTTTGTGTGCTTTCTCAATCCCATTCCTCAGCTTCCTCACAGGTATTTCTGGAGATATGAAGGATTACTCTCCATATCCCTTCCTCTCAGGCTCTGACTACTTGGAACTAGGCTCCTAGATGTGCCTTTGTTTCCCATCAGACTGTCAGGAAGAGGAAAGGGAGGAAACCTAGCAGAGAAAAGTATAATTTTGGTTTATGACTCTTAACCCCCTAGAAAGACAGAAGGTTAAAATCTGTGGAGATAAAGGTTAGGAGTAGATATTGATTACTTTTATAATTCAGCACTTAATTATGAGCCAGGCATCATACTAAACTTTACCTACATTATCTCACTTAGTCCTTACAACAATTCTGTGACATACATATTAACTCATTTTACAAAAAAGGGAAGCCGGGCGTGGTGGCTCAATCCCGGCACTTTGGGAGGCTGAGAATGGGAGGATCACTTGAGCCCAGGATTAGAGATAAGCCTAGGGAACATAGCAAGACACCATCTCTAATGGGGAAGGGGGGGGAAACTGAGCCTAAAAGAGATTAATTAAGCAGTAGGTCCAGAATGCAAAATCCTCCCAATTCCTGTGCATGTGCTCTTAACTGTAAGTGCCAAGGAAAACTGATTTAAGTCACAGCCCTTGTAAGGGGCAACGTTTCTTGTCTGCACTGAATCAAGTCTAACCCCAACAGCCACATCCTCCTCATATAGGAAGACATCTCATCTCAGGAAGTGGTGGTGGGGGTAGTCAGAAGGAAAAATAACTGGACATCTTTGTGTAAACCATAACCCACGTGCTGTGAATGATCTTTACTCCTTATCTGAGGGCAGATTCACAAGGATTCCCCCAAGATTCACTTTTAGGAGCCATTCTCATCCCAGCAGTAAGAAGCTTCCAGGTAGGATAGAAAGAAGACCCAGTTTCACGCCTCTGTTCCTTTGGATGGGGAACTGAGGGAAAATATCTGTTGTATCACTGAAATGTTTTGTTTTTATACATGTCTGAATAAAAATGCCAAAGTTTTTTTCAGCTTCCTGTCTGTCAAATGAAAACATTTCATATGTTAGATAGATCTCCTCAGCAGAGGACAGTCACCTTTCTGTCTTCTGACAATGCTACTCCGTCCCATGCAGCTTTCTCTAGTCCTATTATTACTTGTATTTCTTTAGAACAAGCATAGCTTATAGTCCTTTGGGGTTTTAGTAGGAATCTACAAAGCAAAAACAATTGAGAATAACAAAAACAAATAACCCACGTGCTTGGGGACTTATAAAAAGCACTATATACGTGTCCGGTCTCCTTCAGAGGCCAAATACTGAAACCTCTACGTGTTTCTGAATTCATTCTTAGAAAAGTCACCAAATCTTTTTATTTTGTTTTTTCACAGTAAGCGCTCTCAACAAACATCTGTCTTTCTGAACACTTCCCTTAAGTGCTCCATCCAGCCTGTTATTGGAACAATGTCATGTTACTTCTTTAAGGAGTCCAGCCTCTAGATTGGGAGGCCTTTAAATGGATGATCCCTCCGGATTCTGGCTGCCCAGTTAGCCCCTGCTCCCAGCACCCTAGGTCTTCTTCCATCTGTCTGCCTCTCCCTATTCTCCCAGCTTCGCAGGACTACTGGACCGGCTGGGCGGGTTTCGCCAGCCGATCGAGGGATCCAAGGAAGGGCGCACCCCGCTTCCCCGCCCTAGGTGTAGACACTGCCCACCCGCCCCGGCTCCACCCTTGCCTCTAAACCTATTTCCCCGCCGTAGCTCCGCCCCTCTCCCCTCGGCCCGCCCCTCTCTGTTACGGGCTCTCGCTCAGAGTTCTCGGTGGAAGTGGTTTTTCCGGGAGAGACCACGCTTCCCCGCAAGCTCCCCAACGGCTCCGCCTTCCCGCCGGAGCCTGACCCTTCCCAGCGTGCCCGGCAATTCCGGCGTGCGAGGCCCTTGGAGGGCAAGGCCCCTGGGCCTGGCTTAGGAGGGCGAGAGGCAGGCTGGGAATTGTAGTTCTCAAGCCCCCGAGGGCGGCTAGAGGCTGGCGGTGAAGAGGACTAGTTGTCCCAGCGTGCCCTGCGCCTCAGCCCGCGCGCTCGCAGCTTCTCGCTCTCGCCAGCTTGCCCGCTCCCTTGCTTGCTCGCGCTTTCGCTCGCCCTCTCCTCGAGGATCTAGGGGACTCTGACCACAGCCTGAGGCTGGGAACGGGGACAGAGGCGGCGGCTCAGGGGAAACCAGGCTGCAGTGGTGGTGGTAGGAAGATGTCGGGCGAGGACGAGCAGCAGGAGCAAACTATCGCCGAGGACCTGGTCGTGACCAAGTATAAGATGGGGGGCGACATCGCCAACCGTGAGTGCGGCCTCAGGGGTCGGGGAATCAAAGCTGACAGGGAAAGGTGCCAGGCTGGCCCCAAAGGGGCTGGAGAGGAGGGGTCATGCGGAGTGAGCTACCGAGGGGTCCGCACCGGTTCTCTGGGGGCGGCGTGGTGGAAAGACCGGGTGTAGCGCCTGGGACCTGAGTGGCCAGGCCCAGGCTGAAGTCTGTGGACGTGTGGGCCGGCGACTGGGATGAGCGCAGAGAGGGACCCCTGGCAGGCTCCGACCCGAGGCCGTTTGTTAGGAGGCAAGACAGGTTTTCTCCTGTTCCAATCCTTCAGTCCCGATTTCTGCTTCATCTGATTCTGGCAGCGGCGAGGCCACCTCGAAAAGGAAGCGCCCAGCTATTGGCGACAGAAGCCCCCCTCTTGTTTTGTCGATTCTCTGGGGCTTCAGGAGCCGAGCCTCTCGCACGTGTTGCTGGGTCCCCTTGCGGATGGCTGGCCCCCTTCTTCCTCCACTACTGTCCCTGACACCAGCTTCCTTGCCACGTGCTTTGCTGGAGCCTTTCCTTTACTTCAGCTCTTACCCTGGTGGGGGCCCCCTTCTACCCTTGGACCAGCTAAGGGATCCGTTGGAGGGCACTCCGGGAGCTTCTAACCAAAGTCTTGGAGATATATATGGCTTTTCTTGAAGTTACTCATTACTACCACCTTTCCAATCTGTGCAGATAGCCTTAGTTAGCATTCACATTTGTTGTTCTCAGTGACTTGACAACTCAAATGTTTTGGAGTCCCCGTCTTATCCCAACTAGGCAAGCTTGCAAACAGTACTGGAAAAGAGAGGACTGATTTTAGGATTGTCACAAGTCATCTTTATTCAAGCTGTGCTCTGACGATCTCAGCAGTAGCCTGTCACTGTAGGCAGATGTCACTTTCTCTTTTCTCTCTTTCCAATTCGCCTTTCCATTTTACTTAAAACTCAGGGAGATAGAAACTGCTTGTCCGTGGGCTTTTAAATGTTTTTTGGGGTGTGTGTGTATGTGTGGTTTTTTGGTTTTTGTTGTTGTTGTTTTTTGAGACAGAGTTTCACTCTTGTTGCCCAGGCTGGAGTGCAATGGCGCAGTCTTGGCTCACTGCAACCTCCGCCTCCTGGGTTCAAGCGATTCTCCTGCCTTAGCCTCACAACAGCTGGGATTACTGGAGCATGTCCTTATGCCTAGCTTGTTTTTTGTATTTTTAGTGGAGACCGGGTTTCACCATGTTGGCCAGGCCGGTCTTGAACTCCTGACCTCAGGTATCCGCACACGTTGGCCTCCCAAAGTGCCTGGACTGCAGGTGTGAGCCACTGTGCCCAGCTTTTAAATGGTTTTAACAGCAAAGATGGTGGGGAAGCGGTATTTAGGATGCCTCCGGTCCTGTGGGTGAAAATCTGAGTTTTTACCAGCTTTCAAAGAATCACCAAAACTGAGATTTCAAAAATCAAACCTGTGCACAGTGGACATTTAGTATAGTACCCTGGTTTTTGGTGCCTGTTAGTATTTGAGATAGTAGTTTGAATCAGAAAGTCTCTTTTTTGCAGTTTATAACTTCAGGCCATTGTGATCTCAGATATAAATTTTGTAAATTTGGCCTCACATCTCTTTGAGATAAGCCATGATCCCCTGAAATGAAACCCAGGGACCTTAGGTTAAGCCCCTTTGGCTTATACTCTTGTTTATGAGGAAATAAGTCTACATAGGTTGAGATTCCTAACACCTAATTAGAATGTCTGAGAAAGGAAGGCGGTAACATTTAATAATGCATCAGCTTCGAGTCTGCAATTCTGTCTACCTTCTTGTTGTCCCTGATGCCTATAAATTTCATCTTGTCTTTGCGTGTATGTGGGCATACCTTGGCAAGAACCCTCTAAAGTTCATAACTCTGTCCTGTCACACCAAAGGTAGCATCTTTGGAAAGTCCAAGGCCTTGCCTAGGAAGATGGATTGTATATACCCACTTGTAACGTAATAAGGAAGGGAAGGGAATGTTGTCCTTTCAGCCTCGGGGCAGTAGCACTAGAGAGTATTACAGACTCCTAAGTCCAGCTTCCAGGTATTCCTTGGGTGGTAACTAGACAATAAATACATACAAGGCTGACATGATGGCATTCTGTCCTCAGGGGTACTTCGGTCCTTGGTGGAAGCATCTAGCTCAGGTGTGTCGGTACTGAGCCTGTGTGAGAAAGGTGATGCCATGATTATGGAAGAAACAGGGAAAATCTTCAAAAAAGAAAAGGAAATGAAGAAAGGTAAAAAAAAAAAAAAAAACCTCACTAATTTCCCATTTGACCCTTATTTAGTTCTATATGTTTTATTTTTTTCATTGTAATGATGCAGTCTCCACTCCAGCTCTGGTTGAGATATTTGAAAATTTGGAATGGCAAATGGGATACAAGCAGTTTTCTTCCTAATCCAAACTGATCAAAGCTTAAGCAAGTCCCTGAAAATATCCTTACACTTTTCTGAAGGGCAACAGGGCTCCCAGGAGAAAGCAAGGCAGTAGGCTGATGATTCTTTCTTTACAGGTATTGCTTTTCCCACCAGCATTTCGGTAAATAATTGTGTATGTCACTTCTCCCCTTTGAAGAGCGACCAGGATTATATTCTCAAGGAAGGTGACTTGGTAAAAATGTAAGGTCAAACTGTTTTTTGTTTTGTTTTGTTTTGGTGGGTTATCCCAAGGGGCTGCCCCCAGCCTGAGGGTGGGGCCAGTGGGGCAGGTCGGTCAAACTGTTTTGAAGCATTTTTCTTTTTTAAAGTATTTACAAAGTGCTAGTTCCTAATGCAGTACTCTGATCTTGCTTTTCAGTGACCTTGGGGTCCATGTGGATGGCTTCATCGCTAATGTAGCTCATACTTTTGTGGTTGATGTAGCTCAGGTAGGTGGCCTGCTTTTGAGCTCTGTTTAGCTTTGGGGATGGGGGGAACGAACTGCCATTTGCTTCTTATCCCCACCCCCAATCACCACATAAGTTGAGAGAGTCTCTAGAGAAGCAAAAGGAGAAGGATAAAGGTGTTTTTTTTTTTTTTTTTATTCTCCTGTTCATTAGCTGGCCTTCACATATGGGCTCACAGATATTAACCAGATAGCCAGCTGAGTTAACAAGCTTTCCAGGAAGACACTGATTGCATGTCCTTATCTACAGGGGACCCAAGTAACCGGGAGGAAAGCAGATGTTATTAAGGCAGCTCACCTTTGTGCTGAAGCTGCCCTACGGTTGGTCAAACCTGGAAACCAGGTAAGCTATTTTATCCAGTTCCAAATTATAAAACAGCTTTTAAAATTAGCTATATTTGGCTGGGCACAGTGGCTTATGTCTGTAGTCCCAACACTTTGGTGGGGCCGAGGTAGGAGGATAGCCTGAGGCCAGGAGTTCAAGACCAGCCTGGGAAACATGGTGCAACCCCGTCTCTACAAAAAATGCAAAAATTACTTGGGCGTGGTAACGTGCACCTGTATTCCCAGCTGCCAGGGAGGCTGAGGTGGGAGAATCAGCTGAGCCTGGAAGATTGAGGCTGTGGTGAGCTATGATCACACCACTGCACTCCAGCCTGGGTGACAATGAAACTATGTCTTAAAAAAGAAAAAGGAAAAATAAGCATTTGCTGTCTCCACAAAACTGATAACAATGCCAGGTATAAAAGGATTAACACTGGACTTAACATCAGAAAACCCAGGTGTAGTGGCATATACCTGTAAATCCAGCACTTTGGAAGGTAAAAGTGAAAGGATTGCTTGAGCCCAGGAATTTGAGACCAGCTTGGGAAACATAGCAAGACCCGTCTCTACAAAAAGAAAAAAGAAAACCCAGGTTTATGACCAAGTTCTTTCACTTAACAGTCATTTAACCTGGGGCAAATAATTTAACCTGAGACTCAGTTTCCTTGTCTTCTAGATTGGGATATACATCTGCCCTGTTCACTTGCCAAATTTATCAAATTAGACCATCTTTGTGAAAGCACTGGGTAAAATGATATGCAAATACAGCTGTTCCTCGGCTTGATGGCGCTTTCAGTAGAAGTTATGCTTTGAGTACCCATACAACCATTCCATTTTTCATTTTCCACATATTTTGTAAATTACATGAGATAGTCAACACTATTATAAAATAGGCATGTTTTAGATTCTGCCCAACTGTAGGATAATGTTTTCTAAGTGTTCTGAGCACACTTAATGTAGGCAGGCTATGATGTTAGGTAGGTTAGGTGTATTAAATGCTTTTTGGGTTTTTTTTGAGATGGAGTCTCACTTTGTCGCCCGGGCTAGAGTGCAGTGGCGCAATCTTGGCTCACTGCAACCTCCGCCTCCCAGGTTCAAACGATTCTTTTGCCTCAGCCTCCTGAGTAGCTGGGATTAGAGGGGTGTGCCACCACACTAATTTTAGTATTTTTAGTAGAGATAGGGTTTCACCATGTTGGTCAGGCCGGTCTCAAACTCCTGACCTCGTGATCTGTCCGCCTCAGCCTCTCAGAGTGCTGGAATTACAGGCATGAGCCACTGTGCCCAGTTAAATGCATTTTTGATTTAGTGATATTTTCAACTTACGATGAGTTCTTTTGAGATGTAACCCCATTATAAGTTGGGAGCATCTATATAAAGTATTTTTAGATTGTAAGGATAATCGAACTATGAAATGAAAATCCAGTGAATGAGAATCATTAGTACTGGATGGAGGATATTAGAAAGCTCAGTTCTTTTATGCTTCTTATTCGCATTGTAGAGAACTTATTAGCTCCTGATATCTCACCTTTTGTTTGATGTTGTACTTCTAGAATACACAAGTGACAGAAGCCTGGAACAAAGTTGCCCACTCATTTAACTGCACGCCAATAGAAGGTGAGAACAGTTAACAGGGTTGAGGGTCTAAGAATGAGTGGCTTTGCAGAATTCAGACTTTTGCTCCCTTGAAGATTTATCCTGGCTATAGCCCAGTCAAAGCCAGAAATCTCAGAGCCCTGTGTTTCCATAGCCAGGTACTTTCTCACTGCCTGCCCCTTCAAACTACTGAAGTGGATTTGGAAACCTTTTGGGGTTCTGGATAGCTTGTTCCATAGGCTATGTCCTGTCTACAGGTATGCTGTCACACCAGTTGAAGCAGCATGTCATCGATGGAGAAAAAACCATTATCCAGAATCCCACAGACCAGCAGAAGTAGGTGCCAACCCCACTCATCACCTTCTACCAAACTAGTCATCAGACTTTTTTCTATACTCCCAGCTGAATCTTGTCTACCTTCTACTCCTTGCTTTCAGGAGTGACCTATTGCTCTTAATATTCCCGTTCTCTAGGCCAGGCGTGGTGGCTCATGCCTGTAATCCCAGCACTTTGGGAGGCCCAAGCCAGTGGATCACCTGAGGTGACCAGTTTGAGACCAGTCTGGTCAACATAGTGAAACCCTGTCTCTACTAAAAATACAAAAATTAGCTGGGCATGGTGGTGTGTGCCTGTAATCCCAGCTACTTGGGAGGCTGAGGCAGGAGAATTGCTTGAACCTGGGAGGCGGAGGTTGCAATAAGCTGAGATAACGCCACTGCACTCCAGCCTGACGACAGAGTGAGATTCCATCTCAAAAAAAAAAAATATCCAGGTGTGGTGGTATGCACCTGTAACCCCAGCTACTCGGGAGGCTGAGGCAGGAGAATCACGTGAACCCGGGAGGCGGAGGTTGCAGTGAGCCAAGATAACGCCATTGCACTGTAGTCTGGGCAACAGTGTGAGACTCCGTCTCAAAAAAAGAAAATTCTTGTCTGTGAAGAACATGAAAATATAAAAAAGAAAAAAAATACAAAAATTAGCTAGGCGTGGTGGCATGCAGCTATACTCCCAGCTACCCAGGAGGCTGAGGCAGGAGAATTGCTTGAACCCAGGAGGCGGAGGTTGCGGTGAGCTGAGATTGCGCCATTGCACTCCAGCCTGGGCGACAGAGTGATACTCTGTCTGAAGAAAAAAAAAACCTTCTCTGTATTCCTTTTAGGAAGGACCATGAAAAAGCTGAATTTGAGGTACATGAAGTATATGCTGTGGATGTTCTCGTCAGCTCAGGAGAGGGCAAGGTGAGGAGAGTACCACAGTTGGCAAAGAGGGGTGACTGAAAGTGTTTGCCAGACCAAATATTTCTTAAATTACTCTTGCAGGCCAAGGATGCAGGACAGAGAACCACTATTTATAAACGAGACCCCTCTAAACAGTATGGACTGAAAATGAAAACTTCACGTGCCTTCTTCAGTGAGGTGGAAAGGCGTTTTGATGCCATGCCATTTACTTTAAGGTACTACACATAGCAATGATAGTACTTGGAACCAGTCTGACTCACAGACCATACACCCAGGAACACTTTTTCCTCTCCCTTCCTGCCTAGACTTGTAGCGTGCACGTGCTCACTCCCTCCCTCTCTCTCCCCATCTCCTTCTCACTGAAGGTAATGTAAAAGAGCAATCCTAAGCATGATTTCTGCCTGAGGGTAGGAGCTATTTTAAAATATGAGCAAAATGGTAAGACTTGATGGGGAGTTAAGAATACTTCTGAATATCATCTTCCCCTGCCAGAGCATTTGAAGATGAGAAGAAGGCTCGGATGGGTGTGGTAGAGTGCGCCAAACATGAACTGCTGCAACCATTTAATGTTCTCTATGAGAAGGAGGGTAAGTTCTAAAAAGAGCTTCACTTTGGATTCCCTGATTATATGATATCCTTCATAAAAGTTCAGAAGACCTAAGTATGACAACAAAGGAGTGTTTTATCAAAATACATCTTCATTTTTGCCATAGGTGAATTTGTTGCCCAGTTTAAATTTACAGTTCTGCTCATGCCCAATGGCCCCATGCGGATAACCAGCGGTCCCTTTGAGCCTGACCTCTATAAGTCTGAGATGGAGGTCCAGGATGCAGAGCTAAAGGTTAGTATGGAATAGAAGGTGGTGAGGATGTATATGGTACCTGTCCTGGGAGTGAGGGCTAAATGCCAGCAAAGTCCTAAAAAGAGCTACAGTACTGAAAGTAACCCTTTTTTAAAAAATTTCCTCCACATTTCTCAAAATTTGTTTCCTTCTTCCTGTTTTCCAGGCCCTCCTCCAGAGTTCTGCAAGTCGAAAAACCCAGAAAAAGAAAAAAAAGAAGGTGTGTTGTGATCATCCCTCCCTGGCAGGGTGAACCTGATCCCTCTTTCTCCCATTGTATTAGGTCATGGTGGGATACGGATTTTTGTACAGATATTCCTCAGCTTAAATGATAGGGCTTTGTCCCAGTAAACCCATCATAAATTGAAAGTAAGTCAAAATGGATTAAAAAAATTTTTTTGGCCTGCTGCAATGGCTCACACCTGTAATCCCAACACTTTGGGAGGCCGAGGTGGGTGAATCACCTGAGGTCTGGTGAGACCAGTCTAACCAACATGGTGAAACCCCATCTCTACTAAAAATATAAAAATTTAGGGGCCAGGCGCGGTGGCTCACGCCTATAATTCCAGCACTTTGGGAGGCCGAGGTTGGGTGGATCACGAGGTCAAGAGATCAAGACCATCCTGGTCAACAAGGTGAAACCCCGTCTCTACTAAAAATACAAAAATTAGCTGGGCATGGTGGCGTGCGCCTATAGTCCCAGCTACTCGGGAGGCTGAGGCAGGAGAATTGCCTGAACCCAGGAGGCAGAGGTTGCGATGAGCCGAGATCATGCCATTGCACTCCAGTCTAGGTAATCATTCCATTTTTTTGGAACTCCGTCTCAAAAAAAAAAAAAAAAATTAGCCGGTTGTGGTGGTGGGCACCTGTAATCCCACGAGAACCCAGGGAGGCCGAGGCGGGTGGATCACGAGGTCAAGAGTCGAGACCATCCTGGTCAACATGGTGAAACCCCGTCTCTACTAAAAATACAAAAAATTAGCTGGGCATGGTGGCGCGTGACTGTAATCCCAGCTACTCAGGAGGCTGAGGCGGGAGAATTGCCTGAACCCAGGAGGCGGAGGTTGCAGTGAGCCGAGATCGCGCCATTGCACTCCAGCCTGGGCAACAAGAGCGAAATTCCATCTCAAAAAAAAAAAAAAAAAAAAACAAAAAAAAAAAAAAAACAAAAAAAGAGAGAGAGATGATCTTACTGTGTCACCCAGGCTGACGTGTAGTGGCATGACCATAGCTCACTGTAGTCTCAAACTCCTCCTGTGCTCAAGTGATTGTCCCACCTTAACCTGCTGCGTAGCTGCCACCATGCCTGGCTCCAAATGGATTTGATATACCTTAACCTACCAGGAACCTCAAAGCTTAGCCTGGCCTACCTTCAGTGTGCTCAAAACACTTATTCAACAAATTATCATGTATCGAAATATCCATATTTTCACACTGTTGTGAAGTTGAAAAATCACAAGTTGACCATTGTAAGTCAGAGACTTATATATCTTTATTTCAACTGTGACCCAGAGGATTGAGATACTTTTTTAGCTGAGGGTGCGGTGGTTCACAACTATTATCCCAACGTTTTGGGAGGCCTAGGCAGGAGTATCACTTGAGCCCAGGAGATCAAGATGAGCCTGGGCAAGATAGTGCAACCTCATCTCTACAAAAAATACCAAAAAAAAACCTATACATGGTGGCATGTGCCTATAGTCCCAGCTACCTGGGAGGTTGAGGTGGGAGGATTACCTGAGCCCAGGGAAATTGAGGCTACAGTGAGCCATGATGTACCTCTGCATTCCAGCCTAGGCGACAGAGTGAGTCTTTCTCAAAAAAAAAGTCCAGGCACAGTGGCTCACGCCGCCTGTAATCCCAGCACTTTGGGAGGCTGAGGTGGGCAGATCACCTGAGGTCAGGAGTTCAAGACCAGCTTGACCAACATGGAGAAACCTCATCTCTTAAAAGAAAAAAAATTAAAAATAAAAAACTTGTATCTCTAGTCCCAGACACTACCCCCCAAATAGTTAGAAACTGACACATCTTCTCCCTCTCCTTTTCTTGCATATAGGCCTCCAAGACTGCAGAGAATGCCACCAGTGGGGAAACATTAGAAGAAAATGAAGCTGGGGACTGAGGTGGGTCCCATCTCCCCAGCTTGCTGCTCCTGCCTCATCCCCTTCCCACTACACCCCAGACTCTGTGAAGTGCAGTTCTTCTCAACCTAGGACCGCCAGCAGAGCAGGGGGTCTCCCTGCCCCGACCCCAGTTCCCCAGCCCACTCCCTTCCAACAACAACCAGCTCCAACTGACTCTGGTCTTGGGAGGCAAGGCTTCCCAACCACGGAAGACTACTTTAAGTGAAAAAAAGAAATTGAATAATAAAATCAGGAGTCAAAATTCATCGTCTTCAAGCCCCTCTTTCTAGCCTTTTCTACTACTGTCTGCTTGGTCAAGGTTTGTAGCCCTACCACAGAACAGGGCTAAATTAGCCACCGCCACTGAAAACTCAGCTGAATTTTTTTATACCACTCTGACATCAGCGTTTTTCCATCTGTTTGGGGCTTTTTCCTCTCTTTTTCCCATTTTCCCCAAGTATTTTATCTGGCTTCAAAATTAGGAGGATTATTTTTTCAGATTGTTTTTATTCAGTGTGGCCAACTCCTCATCTTGATTCAGGCCGTCCAGTCAGGCCCCTCCCATTTTAGGAGTTGGAACCTTGATTTATGAAGAGATTCTCATCTATGAAATGGATCCTCATTTGTAAATCTTTGTTCTTCCATTTTCACAAAGCTGTAAAGAAATAATTCATCTCAACCTTACCCTTTTCTCTGGAGTCAGTGGGGTCTTCCCTCACTCCATCTTACACAAACCTGAGCTGGAAGCTCAACTGGTTTTGTTCCCTGTTTGAAATATTGTGATCTCCCTCCCTTGAAAGAAAAAGGAAGAACCAGAGGAGTAGACTGAAGATACAACTCCTGGCTTTCTGAAGCTATGGACTTGGATTGGATTGCTGGGGGTTTGTAGCGAAAGGTGACATATTTCAGTACCTCTGGCATGCTGTCCCAGGAAACTAGGGCTCCCACTAACTTATGAGGTTTTTAAACACATTGAAAATGACATGACATTAAAATAAATTTGGATTTGCTCATAATGTTGTGCTTTGTATGCTGCTTTGATAGAGGTGGGGAGCATGTCAGTTGAAGTAGTACTGGAACTTTCTCCAGTGCCATGATCTACCTTCCTAAAATGAGGAATGTCTTGACTTGCAGAAGACACAAATCCTAGAATCTTTGATGATATAGTAAATTATCTGCTGGAGTTGGGTGATGTAATTTTCTAAGTAGAAACGGTCCTCTGCTAAGATTTGTTTGGGGTTAGGACACTTAATATGTATTGCAAGAACAACACTACAAATGTTTATCTTGATTCAGGAAGCCAGGAAGAATGTCTGGTACGCTAGTTTTCAGGGCCAGACTTGAGGTCAGATGGGTAATTAGTTTATCTTGTTACATGTCAGGCATTGTGAACAGAACTGAACATAGGACAAATGTGAACATAGGACATATCCACCATTAAAATACACAGAGCAGTTTCAGAGCCCTAAAAATCCTCTGTGTTTTCCCTGTTCATCCCTCTCTGCTTGATTACACATTTATCTGAAGGCAAACAATGTACAACACCAAGAGTGGACCCTAGTGTAAACTAAAATATGGATCTGGAGTGATAATGGTATGTCAATATAGGTTCAGTTGTTAAATGTACCACTCTGGCAAGGTGGAGGGATGTTTATAAAGAGGGAGGCTAGGCCGGGCACAGTGGCTCAAGCCCGTAATCCCAGTACTTGGGGAGGCTGAGAGGGCAGATCACAAGGTCAAGAGTTCCAGGCGAGCCTGGCCAATGTGGTGAAACCCCGTCTCTACTAAAAATACAAAAAAAAATCAGCCAGGTGTGGTAGCATATGCCTGTAATCCCAGCTCGTCAAGAGGCTGAGAGGCAGGAGAATTGCTTGAACCCAGGAGGCAGAAGTTAAAGTTAGCCGAAATCGTACCACTGCGCTCCAGCCTGGGTAACAGAGCAAGACTCTGTCTATAAATAAATAAATAAAGGGGAGGCTATATGTGTGGGAAATATCTATACCTTCCTCACTTTTGCTGTGAATCTAAAACTGTTCTAAAAATTTAAGTCTATTAAAAAGAAAGGGTGGGGGGGTGGCCGGGCGCGGTGGCTCATGCCTGTAATCCCAGCACTTTGGGAGGCCGAGGCGGGTGGATCACGAGGTCAAGAGATCGAGACCATCCTGGTCGACATGGTGAAACCCCGTCTCTACTAAAAAAATTTAAAAAATTAGCTGGGCATGGTGGTGCATGCCTGTAATCCCAGCTACTCAGGAGGCTGAGGCAGGAGAATTGTCTGAACCCAGGAGGCAGAGGTTGTGGTGAGCCAAGATCGCGCCATTGCACTCCAGTCTGGGTAATAAGAGCAAAACTCCATCTCAAAAAAAAGAAAAAAAAGGCTGGGCACGGTGGCTCACACCTGTAATCCCAGCACTTTGAGAGGCTGAAGAGAGCAGATCACCTGCGGTCAGAAGTTCAAGACCAGACTGGCCAACATGGTGAAACCTGTCCTAAAAATACAAAAAATTAGCTGGGTGTTGGTGGCACACACCTGTAGTCCCAACAACTCGGGAGGTTGAGACAGGAGAATCACTTGATTTGCTTGATAGAGGTGGGGAGGTGAAGGTTGCAGTAAGCTGAAGTCACACCACTGCACTCCAGCCTGGGTGACAAGAGCGAGATTCTGTCTCAAAAAAAATTTCCCTCAAAGAGCTTATAGACTAGTTGGCAATCATCAATTGGAATCCTGGTGGAATTGATACAAAATAATTCTGCTAGGATTTTTTTTGTTTCAAAAAATTTGTCATATATAAGGCAGGGTACAGTGGCTCATGCCTGTAATCCCAGGACTTGAGGAGGCCAAGGGGGGCAGATCACAAGGTCAGGAGTTTGAGACCAGTCTCACCAACATAGCAAAGCCGCGTCTCTACTCTCTACCAAAAATACAAAAATGAGCCGGGTGTGAGGCAGCAGAATGGTTTGAACCTGGGAGACTGAGGTTGCAGTGAGCCCAGATCCTGCCATTGTAATACAGCCTGGACGACAGAGTGAGGCTCCATCTCAAAAAAAAAAAAAAGTGTCTCGGCCGGGCGCGGTGGCTCACGCCTGTAATCCCAGCACTTTGGGAGGCCGAGGTGGGTGGATCACGAGGTCAAGAGATCGAGACCATCCTGGTCAACATAGTGAAACCCCATCTCTACTAAAAATACAAAAAATTAGCTGGGCATGGTGGTGCGTGCCTGTAATCCCAGCTACTCAGGAGGCTGAGGCAGAAGAATTGCCTGAACCCAGGAGGCGGAGGTTGCGGTGAGCCGAGATCGCACCATTGCACTCCAGTCTGGGTAAACAATAGTGAAACTCCGTCTCAAAAAAAAAAAAAGTTTTTCAGAAATTGAAAATGAAATGCTAGAAATATAATAAAGGAAAACCGCAAAAAAGGAGGGATTGTAACAATCACATACAAAATGTTACAGTATGTTAAACTATAAAATGTTGTATGTATAGGGAAAGCGTTCTTTTTGTTTTTCTTTTTTTTTTTTTTTTCCGAGACGGAGTTTCACTCTTATTACCCAGGCTGGAGTGCAATGGCGCGATCTCGGCTCACCGCAACCTCTGCCTCCTGGGTTCAGGCGGTTCTCCTGCCTCAGCCTGCTGAGTAGCTGGGATTACAGGCATGCGCCACCATGCCCAGCTAATTTTTTGTATTTTTAGTAGAGACGGGGTTTCACCTTGTTGACCAGGATGGTCTCGATCTCTTGACCTCGTAATCCACCCGCCTCGGCCTCCCAAAGTGCTGGAATTACAGGGGTGAACCACCGCGCCCGGCCCGAAAGCGTTGTTTTTCTTTGCTTTTCTTTTTTTCTTTTACTTTTTTTTCTGAGATAGAGTCTCGCTCTTGTCCAGGCTGGAAGTGCAATAGCATGATCTGGGTTCACCACAACCTCCACATCCCAGATTCAAGCGATTCTTCTGCCTCAGTCTCCCAAGTAGCTGGGATCACAGCCATGTGGCATCACGCCCAGCTAATTTTGTATTTTTAGTAGAGATAGGGTTTCACCATGTTGCCCGGGCTGGTCTCGAAGTCCTGACCTCAGATGATTTGCCCGCCTCAGCCTCCCAAAGTGCTGGGACAACAGGCGTGAGCCACCGCGCCAGGTCAGGAAAGGGTTCATTAACTGAAAAGTTTCCTGTAGCCAAATCTTATGGGATCTGGTTGTTTTCCAGTGCTGCTCACCCGAGTATACAATAAGACTGGGAAGTTCTTTATCTTAACACCAAATGTCATACTTCTAGATTTAGCTAATTTTCTCCCTATGTCCGTTGGTTCACTCTTCACCCCTAGAGAACCACTGCATAGGTCACTGCAGCCGCGACTTGCTGGGCTCGAGATTCCCCCACCTCAGCCTCCCAAAGTGCTGGGATTACAGGTATGAGCCACCGTGCCCCGCCGCTTATGTGTTTTCTTAACATAGCCATGCATTGTAGCCAGGATTCCCTAGTGATATTTTGCTTCAGGCATCGTAGGGAAAGACCATAGTCAGCTATTTTATTCCTGAAGTTTAGGGAAAAAAATTGCTCTATCTTAAACAGTGAGAATATTTTTTGCAGTACGGCAGCTTTCCCGACTCCCCACTTTATATCTTCCTACGTTCTGAACTCTTGGTACCATCGATAGTTCCGGAATCGAATCACCCTGCAGCAATTTATTTTAGAAAATAACGTAAACCGGCTGGGCGCGGTGGCTCATCCCTGTAATCCCAGCACTTTGGGAAGCCGAGGCGGGAGGATGGCTTAAGTTCAGGAGTTCGAGACCAGCCTGGGCAACAGGCGAAACCTCGTCTCTACTAAAAACACAAAAATTATCCAAGTGGCGTTCGCCTGTAGTCCCAGCTGCTCGGGAGGCTGAGGCTGGAGAATCGATTGAACCTGGGAGGCGGAAGTAGCAGTAAGCCGATATCGCGCCACTGCACTCCAGCTTAGGTGACAGTGAGATCCTGTCTCAAATAAATAAATAATAAAGAAAAGAAGACAAACCAGTAAAACAATAATTTCTGTACAGTCCGCGCCTTTCCACAGCAAAATGGAGGACTTCTCCAAGGAACTGCAATTCCCAAGAAACAATGCGAGGGAAAGTGGCGGTCACTATTATATTGGAAATAGGTGCTGACGTTTAAATAACACAGTGTCCTCGTACTAAATCTGGTGGGGTGGGGAACTGGTAACTCCAAAACCAAATTCTCTGTCTTCCGGAGAACACCTAACCCAACAGTCCTTCGCTAAGAGGGGCCGAAAACCTTTGTTACGCCCATTGGGTAGCCCCGCCCGGTGGGGGGGAAAAAGGGCGGGAAAACGGAAGTGACGACACCCGGCGCTCTATTAAATAGCTGTAGACGGAACTTCGGCTTTCTCTCGGCCTTAGCGCCATTTTTTTTTGGGTGAGTGTTGTTGGTTTCTGTGTTCGGATTCCATGTACAATCCTTTGACATCTGATCTCTGCACTTACCATCATCACAGCAAACTAACTGTAGCTTTTCTCTTTTTCTCCGTAGAAACCCCTGCGCCATGAGAGCCAAGGTGAGCGGTTCCTGGTATTAGGCTTGGGAAGTAGGAGTTGGCGAGTAGTAATGGGAGACTAAGGCAAGGCAAGTCCGCCATAGTTCCTGAACTACAGGTTTTCAGGGGTGCCCAAGAGTTGATGGGAGAGGAAAATTAGTGAGAGAAGCTGAGAGGCTAGTGGCTAAGTGCTATGGGGAAAGAGAGTGGGAGTTGAAAAAGGTATAATTCGGATTTTATGTTGGGAGGGTGTCCAAGTTACTGATGTAGTTGCTACGACCAGTGCTGCATACTTGGTTAAGAATCTGTCGGGTTCTAAAGAGTGCATTTCATATCCCTCCTAAACCCACTAATAAGATTCTTTTTTTTTTTTTTTTTTAATTCTCTGCTGTTTGTGATCGGTTGCTAGTGGAGGAAGAAACGAATGCGCAGGTATGTTGAGACTGCCAGTCCAGGAGAAGGGAAGGGGGAGTGTTCCTTGGACGAGAAATATTTGATTTGGAAATCTTAAAACAGCTTTAGGAGAAAGACGTTTGAGTATTTTCTTCTTAGAGCAAAGGATTGAACAGAACAGAGGACGATAGAATCGTAATGCTTGTTCATTTTACCACCTCGTGCATTCTAAGCACGTTTGATTTAATGTGGGAGGGGAAGACAACTCTGGTTTAAGAATAGAAAGTGTATTCCATTCCTGTGTCTGCTTTTCAGGCTGAAGCGCAAAAGAAGAAAGATGAGGCAGAGGTCCAAGTAAACCGCTACTTGTTGCACCGTGGAGGCCACAGGAGCAGAAACATGGAATGCCGGGCGCTGCTGATGCTGGTACAAGTTGTGGGACTGCATGCTACTGTCTAGAGCTTGTCTCAATGGATCTAGAACTTCATCGCCATCTGATCGCCGATCACCTCTGAGACCCACCTTGCTCATAACCAAAACTGCCCATGTTGGTCCTTTGCCCTGGACCTGTGACATTCTGGACTATTTCTGTGTTTACTTGTGGCCGAGTGTAACAACCATAAAATAAATCACCTCTTCCGCTGTCTTAGCTGAAGGATTAAATCGTCTCGTCTATTACGTGTTTTTTATGGTTCCATCGGGTCGGGGTTTTCTATCAGTACAGTTTGCCCTGTCCCTACCTGTGCTATGGAGGATAGAAAGGCAAAAGCCAGGGTTAAGTGGTGTGGTTTGCACCTGGCTGGAGTTGGGTAGGGTATGGTACGCCCCTGGAGGCACGTTTTAGGTTGCGTGCGTTATTAGGCGCTGTTGGTGGTACCGCCCTTGCTTTCCAGTAGGTCTGCCATTCAGAATACCGCTTTCTGGACTTGATGTCGTGCTTTTGGGTTGGGTTGCTATGGTGACACGCAAAGCGTGCTGGGAACTTCCTGCGATATGTCGCACGCCTACTTCGTACACCATAGAGTATGGTTCCGGGTCTGGTGGCTAGAGCGTCACTTCTTCCGCAGGAAGCGGAAGAGCGTTCGGGTGGGCGGCTCTTTGTCGAAGCTAGAGGACCGGCAGGCGGCAGCAGCAACTACGGCGGCGGCGGCAGGTGAGGGAGGCGGGAGACTTAGGTGGAGGCCGCGCCCGGAGGGGAGGAGTCGGGCCAGCCCCGCTGCTGGGCTCGGCCGGGCCGCACAAGTCCCCCCAGAATCGAGCTGGCTCTTCCTCACACCCCAGGGCAGTGCCCCTTTTCTGACTGACCCCGCATCGCGAGCAAACGCCAGCTTCGTGACGTCACAGCTCTGCCCATCCCCTCAGCTTGATGACACCTGGAGCCCCATCTCTCCGCTTCACTTCGCGCGCCCTTAGTGTCCCATTCACGTAGTCCATGGCTGAGCGCCGGCGGCACTGCACGGAAACTGCCAAGCTAGAAGACTTGCTGCGGGAAAACTCCTAGGACTTTTTTCGCAAACTCTAGGGTGTTGGGAAGCGTCACAATCACTGCCCCCAAGTCTAATCGGCCATTCCACTGCACTGTCAGACGCTGCCCTTTTAAGGTTCCTCACTTGGCATTACTAACTCCAACCTTTGGCCGCCCTCTGACCCTCACATCCTCTTTCATCTTGAGGCAGGGCGCCCCACACCCTTTGTTCACTCAGGGCTGGTTTTCCAACCCATCCTCCCAGCCCTTCCGAATTAGTTTTATCTTTTACTCTGCTTACTGGCCACTTCTCCCTTGGACAAGTGGAGAAGCTCAGTTTGAACACTAAGGAAATCCTAACGTTTCCAAAGCTTTGCCGTTTTGTTAGATTTCTTTCTTGTGACAACCACTCCATCGAGTGGAGGACAGCCACCTCCACTCTTACTCCTTCTCCCACCCAAGTCTCTGTTTTTTTCCTGCCCAGAACCCAGCAGTGATGTGGAGGTGGAGACCCACAGGAGCCCCGGACTTCACCTGAGCTACCTCAGGTATCAATTCTGGGACAGTTGGGTGGGGTGGAGCTTCATATCTAATTATCTGCTGCTGGTGCGACTTGCAAGGTGAGCCACGCTTGGGTAGATGCCATTTGTACTTCACCTGGTCATTCCCCTTTACTAAAAGTTTGTATCTTCTTTTATCACTTCTTTCCTTGATTGCTTCTGTTATTCTGGGACTACCTCCCTTTAGAGGAAGAGGGCCCTTTTATAGATTCACATGTAACTCTGGCCTCTGGTTTGGTTAGTTCATTTTAGGGAGAGCTGAAGGCAAAGTCACAGCAGTGGGGTGGGGGTAGGTCAAGACCAAAGTAATCAGGAAAGATTCTCTTATGATCAAAGGGAACAATATGAAGTTTTCCTATTTCAGCAGCAGGGGGAGCCTGAATACCATATAGGAAAGGCTTGGGAGGTCAGACACGTGGTAGCAGGGACTCCAGGTCTTACTAGGGGTGGAGAGCGGGGAGGGCTAGAATCAGGGCAGTGGACTGACATTCCAAAGCTCTCTTGGGAAATAGGAGACTTAAAAAGCTTTTATAGAGTCTATAAATAAAGAGGATCTTTATGGGGTGAGGAATGGTGTGGTTGGATGTCAGTGGGATCTCCACATAGGGGTGAGGAAGGGGGTGGGGCGTGGGGAAAGGTCACTTGTTCCTTTGAAATTAACTCCTTCCCACCTTGACCTTATCACAAATGGTTTGTCCTGGGAAGTCTAGAAGTGGAGATTCTAACTTAGAACTCCTGCCCTGCAATGGAGGGAGCTGACCTCTCTGGGGTAGATAGTGATGATGGCTGGGAGGGAATATTAAAATATGACAGGTTTCGAGACTGCCCTCAAGCTGGTGACACCAGTCTCTTCACTCAGGATTTTGTGGCTTCTAGAGATGTGATATGTACAGAGCCCTTACCTGAAGAAAAGGAAAAGGGGATAAGGAAGTTTTGTTACCAGTGTCCCATCTTCTACAACCCTAGTAGCTCAGCAGCCCATCCTGGGCACTATTCCTAGTTCCCAGACTATTCAGATACCAACCACAGTTTTAATTTCACTTCTACAACTTTAATAAGGTCAGCTCAGATGGAAAGATAAAATCCAAGACTATTTTTTCTCTGCTCTCTTTGGCCTATCATCATTAGTGAAATGAGGTGGCTTCACCCCAACTCCTTCCCTCCTCCATTAGCCAGGCAAGTGTGAATCATTCTGACCCAGACCAGGTGCACAAAAGCCTGGGCAGGACTTTTGATGAGTCAGACATTTCAGCCAGAATTCTTATCCCTTAGATTCTCCATCTCTGAAGCCATTGCCCCTTTGGGCTGCCTGCTCTATAGTCAGGAAGAGTGGGATCTCCCTGGAGGACTCTTGTTGATACCGTTTTCCTCTTTTTTAGTGGTCACCAAGAGTGGCAAGATAAAGAAAACCCTGAGTTGGGCGGGACCAGGATGCCTGATCGGGACAGCTATGCCAACGGCACCGGGAGCAGCGGTGGAGGCCCTGGAGGTGGTGGCAGCGAGGAGGCCAGTGGGGCAGGAGCAGGCAGTGGCGCGGCCAGCTCAGATGCCATCTGTAGAGACTTCTTGAGGAATGTGTGCAAGCGAGGCAAGCGTTGCCGATATCGCCACCCAGACATGAGCGAGGTGTCCAACTTGGGGGTGAGCAAAAATGAGTTCATCTTCTGCCATGACTTCCAGAACAAGGAGTGTAGCCGCCCAAACTGCCGTTTCATCCATGGCTCCAAGGAGGATGAGGACGGCTACAAGAAGACCGGAGAGCTTCCCCCACGGCTGAGGCAGAAAGTAGCAGCTGGCCTTGGCCTTTCACCAGCTGACTTACCAAATGGCAAGGAGGAAGTCCCTATCTGCCGTGACTTTCTCAAGGGGGACTGTCAGAGAGGAGCTAAGTGCAAGTTCCGTCACCTGCAACGGGATTTTGAGTTTGATGCTCGGGGTGGCGGAGGCACTGGTGGGGGATCAACAGGCTCAGTACCCCCAGGACGACGTCATGATCTCTATGATATCTATGACCTTCCTGACAGGGGCTTTGAGGACCATGAGCCAGGCCCAAAACGCCGGCGAGGTGGATGCTGCCCCCCTGATGGTCCTCATTTTGAGTCATATGAATATAGCTTGGTTCCACCGCGAGGGGTAGAGTGCAGACTGCTAGAGGAGGAGAATGCCATGCTCAGGAAGCGGGTAGAGGAACTAAAGAAGCAGGTCAGTAACCTGCTGGCCACCAATGAGGTATTACTGGAACAAAATGCTCAGTTCCGCAATCAGGCTAAGGTCATAACCCTGAGCTCCACTGCACCAGCGACTGAGCAGACTCTGGCCCCCACTGTGGGCACTGTCGCCACTTTTAACCATGGCATTGCCCAGACTCACACGACTCTCAGCAGCCAGGCTCTACAGCCTCGTCCAGTGTCCCAGCAAGAACTGGTGGCCCCTGCTGGAGCTCCAGCTGCTCCCCCAACTAATGCTGCACCTCCTGCTGCTCCACCACCCCCACCCCCACACTTGAACCCAGAGATCACACCACTGTCAGCTGCCCTGGCTCAAACAATTGCCCAGGGAATGGCCCCCCCACCTGTCTCCATGGCTCCTGTGGCTGTATCTGTGGCTCCTGTGGCCCCTGTGGCTGTATCGATGGCCCAACCCTTGGCAGGAATCACAATGAGCCACACCACCACTCCCATGGTGACCTACCCTATCGCTTCCCAGAGCATGCGCATCACGGCCATGCCACACTGATGGGGCTAATGGACACTCCCCTGGTATAGCCTCCATGGCTGGGGTCGAGGGGCCCTTGCCCACTCGCCTAGCCCTCCCCAGCCCTGTCCAAAGGGCTCCCTTGAGAACTAGGACAAGAGACTACAAGGAGTAGTCCTGAGGAGGGGTTGGGTTGGTGTGTTTTCTCTCACCTCCCTTTTATGAGGGTCCTCTTGTCCATCTTCAAGCCTCACAGTGGGGGCTTGCAGAGAAGTGCAGACTGAAGCCAGCAGAGAGGAAGGACTGACTGAGGGCCTGTGTCCTCTTACGGGAATTTGGGAACATCCCTCGTCTTGTCCTCTCTTCTACACAGCACAGGTTCCAGCACTGGTTTTGGAAGAAAAACATATCCTGCCCAGAGGGAAAGCCAGGAAAGATTGAGAAGAGTGGGTGGTCAGGAGAGAAGGCCTGATAGGAGCCTTCAGACAATTTGGGTCCTAGTTGGTTGGGTTGGATGATACAGGAGTTGCTTCTGGGCCCTGGGAATGCTGGGACCATAGTGCTCCAGCCCAAAGACTAGGGGAGCATTCATTACCCTAGCTTGACCTGAAAATCCATAGGGCAGGGCCCACTACTTTCCAAAGAAATAAAAGAACAATTATTTTTAACAAATGGAGGCAGTGAAAACTTGCTTAGATATTCTGTGTGGAAAATGGGAGCAGTAAATAGGTGCCAAAATGGGATAAAGGCCCTAACCTCACATAGCTTGGGTAAGATGGATAGAGGCCAATGAAGAAGGGTAGGGACCCAGAACAAGACCAAATGGGGTTTTGGGGAAGGCACTTTGTTGGGTAGAAGCTTTGGAGCCACCTAGTCTAGTTTAAAAATAGTCCCATCTGTTTCTGATCTCTGTATGTGCTATTCCCAGGTTGCCTTAGTAACCAGGGCTCCTAGGGTCATTTAGTGAGGCAGGCAGTAAGGAGGGTGTATATGCTGAAAAATGGGGATGGGATGTTACACAGTTGAAAGATCCTTATTCAAACAGAGCAGGACAGGTGGAAGTTGTCTCTGAGTTGATGGCAGTTAATGCCCCTCCTAACCCAGCCCTTCCTCAGTGGCCAGTTCCTTAAGCCTTTAAGGCTTGGGAAGTCTGGGAAACGGGAGTCCTTCTAGGGACACAAGCCTCAGGGTTTATCCCTTTCCTCTGTCTCCACCTAGGACCAGATGTTTTAAATCTACTTAAGTCAGTAAGGCCAGGGGCCCCAATAGCCAAACCTCAGTTCCTTCTCAGCTCATGGCTGATGTAGGGAAAACAACTCAGGTGTCTAGTCTAATGGGACAGTAGATTTGGGGGTAGAGAGTGATCCTGGATTGTGTTCCCCTGCATCGTATCTCCTGCTACCTCTTGCTCTCTTTTCTGGTTGATCACTCAGGTCATGTGGGATTGGAGATGGTGGGCTAGGTCAAAGGTAGTCATTAAAAAAAAGCCTAACAACTAAAAGTGAGCAAACATTGTGGGTTTTAGAAACAACACATTGATAAGTTTAATGTTGTTTTCGGCACGGTTTTTTTTTCTTAACAGATTTTTAAGTGCACATCTGGCACAACTCTAAACATTTTTTTTTTTTTTTTTTTGAGATGGAATCTCGCACTGTTGCCCAGGCTGGTGTGCAGTGGCGCCAATCTTGGCACACTGCAATCTCTGCCTCCTGGGTTCAAGCGATTCTCCTGCTTCAGCCTCCTGAGTAGCTGGGATTTCAGGTGCCTGCTACCATGCCCTAATTTTCTATATTTTTAGTAGTGATGGGGTTTCACTGTGTTGGCCAGGCTGGTCTCAAACTCCTGACATCGTGATCCGCCCACATCGGGCTCCTAAAGTGCTGGGATTACAGGCGTGAACCACTGCACCCGGCAATTCTAGACTATTAAAAGAGATGGCTTACAAGCGTTTAAAGAAGAATGTAACCATAGATACCAACATGAATTCTCAGTCAAATCATGACTGACTTTATTTCCTCCTTGCCAAGTTATCTCCAAAGAGGTAGATTGGGAAACTTTAGACATTGTATGTCTTATATGTATTTATTCCAGCTAAAGACCACCAAGAATACACCTGGTAATTGAACAAGTTTGGTTTAATGTTCATTGCAGTGAGGGAGAGGGCACACCATTGGGAATTTGTGGTGTGTCTCAGTGAGAGGGTATTAGGAAGGACTTGGAAGACTTAGACGTTGGTTAATTGATTTGGGGGAAGATTCAAGAAAGTGGATGTTCTTTTGGATTGGGTGCTGTTAAGGGAAGCAAGGATAATTCTGTGATTGGGTAGCTTGTCTAGAAGAAGGGCAGACAAGTGGACCTAAGCTGCAATTGATGATGAAGTCACTAGCTGGGAAAGGGGATGTTTGCTGTTTTGTAGTTTGCACACAGACCTTGTTTTGTGCTTAAACAAAATTGTGAAGTGATGTTGCTTTTTGTCTCACTTCATCACAGTCACCGAGTGACCTTGTCCAATGCTGGTGTTTTGTGAGATTGTTTGCATCTAAGAGAACACATCGGCTACCTGTGAGCACCAGGTCAGCCCTAACAGCTCTGAAGCCTGGCTGTGTCAGACCAGTTCCCAGATTACAGGAGCTGCTTTCCTCTCTCTCACCTGCTAAGTCATCACAGATAAGAAGAAAATTATGGGTCAGTTAGTAGTAGCATTTTTTCCATTCAAATGGCTCTGGTTAAAAAATAAGAAAAAAAATAGTAGCATTTGGTGGAATCAAACTGAACACTTGTACTTAGTGTTGGTTAGTGCATTTATGTTAGAGAAGTCTCTGTTCTCTAGTGATGTGCCCAAGGGTTATGTTTTATTATAAAAAGAAAACACCCAACTTGGATAAACATATAAAAAGCCCATTTATCAACAGTAACACAGGAAGAGCTAAATTATATTCAAAATGCCTGTGACTGTGATTGACTAAAACACTGGAGTACTCTCCCACTAAAAAATTGCTTAGGTCTTGAGCTTGTCTGAAGAACAATGTTAGAGATCTATATTAGCAACAATTCACATGAGAATAACTTGGGACTTCCAGTTGGCTACAACAAATTAGAATCAATTTATAAATATTAAGAGCCAACTGGGTTGGGCACGGTGGCTCACGCCTGTAATCCCAGCACTTTGGGAGGCCGAAGCGGGTGGATCACGAGGTCAAGAGATCGAGACCATCCTGGTCAACATGGTGGAAACCCGTCCCTACTAAAAATACAAAAAATTAGCTGGACATGGTGGCGTGTGCCTGTAATCCCAGGAGGCTGAGGCAGGAGAATTGCCTGAGCCCAGGAGGTGGAGGTTGCGGTGAGCCGAGATCACACCATTGCACTCCAGCCTAGGTGACAAGAGCGAAACTCTGTCTCAAAAAATAAAAATAAGAGCCTACTATGTTCTAGGCATCTTTCTAGGAGCTCCACAAGGGTAGTAGAACCTTGGTCATGGATTATAAATAACAGCAGTTCTATGTTCTGCCTAAGTGTAACTACTTGGTAGCGTGTTCTTCTAAAGGTAATTTTTAAAGAGGGCTGTTGACAAACCAGTGGGGTTTGCTGGAAACAAGAAAAGGCTGGCAAGATAAAACTTCAAATAGAAGTCTTCAGATATTTGAAGGGCTGCCCAATGGAGGAAGGTCCTGTTTGCTACACAGGAAATAAAAAGGGAGTTCTAGAATAATGGCTTAACATTTGTTGATTGCTTAATATAAGCCAAGGCTCTGTGCTAGGCACTTGACATGCAACATCTCATTGATACAATGGGTACTATTATTATTATTATTTTTTTTTTTTGAGACGGAGTTTCGCTCTTGTTACCCAGGCTGGAGTGCAGTGGTGCCATCTCGGCTCACCGCAACCTCTGCCTCCTGGGTTCAGGCAATTCTCCTGCCGCAGCCTCCCGAGTAGCTGGGATTACGGGCACACGCCACCATGCCCAGCTAATTTTTTGTATTTTTAGTAGAGATGGGGTTTCACCATGTTGACCAGGATGGTCTCGATCTCTTGACCTTGTGATCCACCCACCTTGGCCTCCCAAAGTGCTAGGAGTATAAGCGTGAGCCACCGCGCCCGGTGGGGTACTATTATTTTACCCATTTTACAGAGGAGAAAGCAGGCTTAAAAAGTAACCTGCCCAGGGTTCTGCAAGTAAGGAATGGGACCAGGAATCAGTCTATTCACACAGTCTGACTCCAGACTGACATAAGAAAGTTCTAATGATATAGCCATCCAACAAAGGGATCATTACTTGGCAGTAACTTTCCTTTTTTTTTTTTTGAGACAGAGTATCACTCTGTTGCCCAGGCTAGAGTGTAGTGGCGTGATCTCAGCTCACTGCAATCTCCGACTCTTGGGTTCAAGTGAATCTCCTGCTTCAGCCTCCTAAGTAGAGTAGTTGGAATTACAGGCCCGCCACCACGCCCAGCTAATTTTTGTATTTTTAGTAGAGTTGGGGTTTCGCCATGTTGGCCAGGCTGGTCTTGAACTCCTGACCTCAGGTTACCCGCCTGCTTCAAATCATGCCTGGCATTACAGGCATGAGCCACCGTGCCTGGTTTGGCAGTAACTTTTGAGGACTAAAGAATACAGAAGAATTTCCTCAAATCCTGTTGCACTTCCTATCTTTGTGAGCTGAGCTCAGATTACCATATCTGATCCTCTGCCTCTGGAAGGTAATTGTAGTTTACATATAAAGGCAGATTACAAGTCCAGGAGGTTTAAGTATTCTCTCTTCTCCAATAGGCCTCATCCTGTAACGGCCAAACATTTCCTCTACAAATGGCCATCCCTTCCTGTTGTCCACTTACTGCTTATGACCACCAGGTGGCACCTGGGCAGCAGGATTGTCAGCAAGTGGGGACCCGCCCTGTTTACTTGTGTTGGTAACTGCATTGCAGCTGCTGATCCTGTGGCTCCTGGGCCCCAGCTGGGACAAGACCTTCCTGAGGATGAAGTTTTATCCCCCATATAATTTCTGATGATCCGGATGAGGTGAGGAAGAGAGAAGTTTGGAAAGGAACCTCCAAACCTCCATAGGTCATCCTCTCCATTCTCCCATCCTTAGGAACCTCCTTCCCTGCTCCAGTGCTTGGCAAATATCAGTTTATAGAGAGGTGTCTCTCTAAGGAGGTTCATCCATGTTCCTGCTATAGTTCTGCTTCATCCGTTGGTGAGCAGATCACTCATAATTCTTCCAAGTTCCTTTTTTCCCTTTTCTACCTGCTCACCTCTGGGAATATGGAGGATATAGGAGACAGAATATTGTTTCTTAAATAGTTCTGCAAACTGAATGAAGCAGTTGAGATACTGCTAGCCCTAGGGAATTAGAGAAAAAGAAAAGGAAGTATAAAAATTTAAGGGGTGGAGGCTGGGCAGGGACAGGACAGGTTTTTTTGTTTTTTTTTTTTTTTTGAGACAAAGTTTTGCTCTGTCGCCGGTCACCAGGCTGGAGTGCAGTGGCACGATCACGGCTCACTGCAACCTCCGCCTCCTGGGTTCAAGCAATTCTCCTGCCTCAGCCTCCCAAGTAGCTGGGACTACAGGCGCACGCCACCATGCCCAGCTAATTTTTGTATTTTTAGTAGAGATGGGGTTTCATCATGTTGGCCAGGATGGTCTCGATCTCTTGATCTCATGATCCGCCCGCCTTGGCCTCCCAAAGTGCTGGGATTACAGGCGTGAGCCACTGTGCCCAGCAGCAGGGACAGGTTTTAGGGAGCTTTGGTAAATATAGCCTGATGAAATCTATGCTCTGCTGAACCAGAAAAATTTATCAGCTGCAGGCCTCATCCTGTAAGACACTTCCTCTAACAAATGGCTAGTTTCTCCCCAATGATCAACCCCAGTTCTCTGCTGCATCTGACAGAGTTCCATAATATGCCCATATATACTGCAGTAAAGGTAATCATTTTATGACCAATACTTAAACTACCAATTAGCCTTATACCTAGATCCCAGGACAACACTCCACCTTTAAGGCCAGTTAACTAGTGTCCATAGTCATCAGTGTACTCTGCACTTTTTCCTTCCTAAACCTACACAGTACACTGTGGAACTACGTTAGTTCTGCACCTGACTGGCAAACTTTTCTTCTAACTCAGGCAAATGAGAAAGGGAATTGTCTTTCCCTTACTCTTGATTCCTCATTTTACTGTCCTAGAAGTTCCTCAGGGTCAGGAAATTATTGGAAAATGTAATAATTTCCACTGCCCCCCTCCCTTTTGGAGCCAACTAGTCTTACTCCATCCTCGATGATAGAGATGACTTACCAACTCTTGGAAATTTCCAAAAAGAAATAAAGCCTCACTTTCTATTCACTCCTCTGCTTCCCCCCCCCCCCTTTCCCTGAAGACTGGATTACCTCAACTCTGTACTTCTCTGATTCTCCAGTTTTCTCCACGGTCATTCGTTACACCACACAAACAAGGCAGGGGATGGGGACGGGATAGACAGGGTCAGTCTTCAAACAGTTTCATTCCAAATAAGATCGTGTCCTTTCCTTTTCTAAGAGCAGGCAGGGAAAAGTTGAAGGATAAGGAATGGGCTTAGAGTATGAAAAGTAGAGAAAGTCGGAAAAAGAACATATGGATATCCCAGACCAAATCCTGCCAAACTGTCCGAATGAGCAGAGGGAAATCATGAGGCTACACATCCACAACCCCTCAACTTCACAACTTGGGCTTTCTCCAAAACCCAGAAATTGGCGGTGCGGCTCTCCATGACGTCATACCACAGGCACTCCAATCCCACGTGGGGGAGCTCTTGGTCCCGCCTCTCCAGAAATGGTGCACCACGCCTCCTCCTCTTTATTACCAATCGAATGCCGCTTCTGAGCCCCTTTCTTCCTTTTCCCGCCATCCCAGACCTCCCATCTTGGCCTTCGGGCCCAATCAGGGAGGCCCTACCTATCAGAAACCCTCTCCCTTCCCCGCGGAAGAGAGGAGGAGTTTCAACCTTTTAACTCCACCTTGGTCTGTGCAGCGCAGACCAACCCAAATCGCCAGAAAGGAGGGGCGTGGCTTGAAGTCCCCTCCTCCCTCCCGGGGATCACGTTTTGCTGTGGGGTAGCTGGTCGCAAGACTGGGATACCTCCAGCAGGTCCCCGGGTCGGGCAAATCCTCCCAGAGGTGACACAATGGAGCGGTCTCCAGGAGAGGGCCCCAGCCCCAGCCCCATGGACCAGCCTTCTGCTCCTTCCGACGCCACTGACCAGCCCCCCGCTGCTAACGCAAAGCCAGACCCAGGTTCCGGGGGCCAACCTGCTGGCCCTGGCGCAGCGGGTGAGGCCCTGGCGGTGCTGACTTCATTCGGAAGGCGGCTGCTGGTGCTGATACCGGTGTACCTGGCGGGTGCAGTGGGACTCAGCGTGGGTTTCGTGCTCTTCGGCCTCGCCCTCTATCTGGGCTGGCGCCGGGTCCGCGACGAGAAAGAACGGAGCCTTAGAGCAGCGAGGCAGCTACTGGACGACGAGGAGCAGCTCACGGCGAAAACTCTTTATATGAGTCATCGAGAGCTACCTGCCTGGGTGAGCGACTACCCTCGGTCCTCGGTGCAGCCTAGCCCCCTTCCACCCCTTCCGTCTGGGGCTTTCTCTCCTTATGCCTAGAGTCAGCTCCCCCGCCTTGCAACAGTGGGCCCCACACTTTCCCCTCTCTCCCCAGTAAGCCGCCTGCCTACTGGACGCGCCACTCTTAGGACCGGCTGCTCACTCTCCCCACCCACCCTTTCGCACGCCCAGACTGGATCCTTCCACAGAGTCAGGACTTCTTCCTCTACTCCTGGGCAACAGCAGTTAACAACATCTGGGAACCCCCATCTCAGCCGAAGCTCTCCCTCCTAGCCAAGCCATCTTGAACGCCCCTCTCGCTTTTGGTGCCACTCGCGCCTTTGCTGCTCCCAGAAATCCTGGTCCCGTTACTT